AGTATAAACATAGAAGAAAGACCTCTGACCGTAACAGTTTTTAAAAGTTGTCCTTTTGTAACAGATCTAGTTGAATGACCACTTCCAGAATTTGATTTGGGCAGCAATGCACAGAGAGTTCCATAATTGGCACCTTGGAAGATCTGAAAATATAAATTAATACCACTGTACAAAACATAGTTCTGAAAAGTCAAGGCATCAGACAATGAAAGAACTTTTATAATTAAAGGAATTTTATATAATGCAGAAAGGTAATACTAATTAAGGAGAATAACCTGTATATGTATATTTTTTCACATGTCCCAAACAACCACCTTTAGTAGAATAGATAAAGGCCAACATGTGCAAGTAGTCAGAGATTCCTTTAAAAAAATTTTTTTTAGTTAAACTAATTTTTTTTGGGGGGGTTAGTGATTTAAAAAAGAAATCTAATTTAAAAGACAAATTTGGGGTAAAAGAAAAAAACTAAACTAAAGTTTCCTGAATGTCCTGATGAGCTTCTATGTAACCAGTGAGTTTTCATGGCTGGATGAGAAAATGTACCAACAAACAGAGAGCTTGTTTTTGGTAAAATAAGAGATCGAAAGAGACAACTCAGCAAAAGTAGCAGCAAACTGTTTTTTGGGTGCTCTCCAACAACGGAAGCCGCTCATGACAAGGTCTTTATGTGCTGTGGAAACAGAAGAGTTATTTCTGCCTGGTCAGTGCTGTTTGTTTGCACTGACAGGGTTTAACTTGCGGGAGTCTGTCAGGAAGGGGGCCCTCAGTTGGTTCAACACTGTGATGCTTTGGGTTTGATGTTTGACCGATGACTCACTCAACACAAAGTCATGTGTTGAGCTGGGCTAGTGTTTTGTTTTTAAAATCACAAACCATTCTTATTCAAGGGAAAAAAAACTACATAAAGATGGGATTTTTAAAAATATAATTTTAACATTTAAATAAGGTACAACTTTTTTTATTTACAATTTTTGGATTTAGTGTTGGGTGAAATGTTAGTGTATATACATTACATTTTTGTTGAATGCAGTGTCCTTATGTTTAAACATAATTCTGTACTCTCATAATTCTGTAATATCAATGGCTGTTAAGAAGATCTGACTAGCAGCACACGTTGGCTTTAACGTGCTATTTTTCTATTTTATAAAAAGTTGTTTGACATGTAAAAACTTGGAACCTAAAGTTAAAGCCTTTTTATATACCGGTAATTAGATCTGAAGTTAATATCATATCGCCATATATTTTAGTAAGAGAGCTAATGGTAGATTAATTAGATCCAAGCTAGCACCACATCTACAATATATTAGCTTGAGAACTAATGCAATATTTATTAGCTGTAACACTAACACCATATACACAGCTTTACAGCTAATAAAGATAGTGTTAGCTCTGAAACTAATATACTAGTGTCATATGTTGCCGTACATATTTTAGCTCGGGAGCTAATGCTATATTTATTAGCTTTAAAGCTAAGCTAGGACTGGTAATCATCCTCATTTACCCAGAATGCTTTGCGTAGTAAATAACATAGCACTGTCTTTTTATAGTTTAAGTAAATGTTTATCATATAACGTCTAGGGCTGCCATGATTAGTCGACGACTAATCGATTATTAAAATAATCGATGACTAATTTAATAATCGATTAGTCGTTGACTAATCGACTAATCGTGGCAGCCCTAGATACCACTCCACACACATTCACAGCTTACTATTTAACCTGTTAAATGAGGAAGTTAGACTGACTGATAAATTGTTAGCATAATTTCAGAACAGAAGGTAATTAGTATAAAAAACATGCAAGTGCAATTCTCATCTATTAATCCTCATTTTAATAGTTCTCAGCTAAATGTCCCAATTAATCCTCATTAATTTTTTTTGCAAATATCGCCCAACCTTAGACAGAGTAGGCAAAGTACCTCAAAACATATTTTACACAATAAAGACTGATTACACCAAGTACTGAGATTTCTTTAAGTGGTTGACACATCTCAGTGGAATCTTCTCTGGCTTACTAAAACAAATATTTTATGGTTTTGTGACTGAGGCGTTCAGGGAATCGGGTCAAATCTCTCAGCTTTAAAAAAATTAAAAAAAATAAAACTAACTGAGCTGGAGGAATAAACAAAGAGATGAAATAAACTTTTCAGTGGCAGGATGTGCTGTGAATGTTGACTGGTGGGTGGATGCATTATCCTGCATCGTGTTCTGTCCCTAACACCAAAACAGAGTGGGAGTAGAGACCCCCTCTGCTGAGCACACTTTATTGGTAAAGATCTGCAGTGTGCCTTGCTAATAGCAGTTTCAAAGACCAAAATATTTGGAGATTTACTGTCTGATGTCTAAACAAAGCATTTTTATCGACTGCAAGGAAGCAGCATATCTGAACTGAATGCTCAATTAAACTCCTCACTGGGGTTCAGAATGAATACCAAATCGTGTTTTGTCACAAGTTTAGAACTTTACACAAAACATTCTTGATTTTTAGAGATATTCGTACATCTGGTGCTCAAGCTTTGCTGACACGTGGAGATCAAAATGTTCCAAAACTGCAGAAACGTTAAGTTCCTCTCAAACAAACAAAGAGGAAAAAAAGTCAATTATTGGAACAGCTTTAACATCAGCTTGTCCCCCCTACAGAAACTGTTCACACGAAAACATCCCGACGCACAGTTCAGCTGGTCTACAACAACAGAAAACCAGTTCTGACAGGTTGTGGATGATTTCAGCCAGCGAGGCCGTGCGAGCTGAGGGGCCCAGTTTATCTGCCTTAAATTAAGTGTGTCCGTCCTCACAGAGACAATGTTAGGCCGGGGTTTCCCAGGGTTGGTAAAGCTCCCAGCCTCAGAGGCTGAGGAGAGATAGAGCTCTGTTAGGAGATGAAGAACCCAGCTGCAGCCTGGCAGGAAAAAGAAGAGCTATATGGAAGAGGACTGGTGTGTGCATGTGGATGGAAAAGAAATGTAAAACCAAAACTGTCAGGAGGATGTTTTAAATCTTACTTTTGCCAGAAACTCATAGGAGTCATAGAAGTAGTGACAGTGACGTGAATAAAATGTTTTCCAAAACAGAAAATACAAAAGCAGCACTGACAGCCGACTGCAAGCCTGTCCTTATTTACCTTTGTGCTAAAATCACAGTTATTGTGCTTCACTGTTTCAGTCCATAAGACCCCCAGAGAAAACCACCTGCTTGTGTTTACACCAACAAGCAGCTGCTCTCTGAAATATCTCACCTGATCCAGCCTCATGCAGTTTTCCTGCCACACATACACACAGGGGCATAAAGGCGTATGAATGACGTCCTGTTTTGATGCTGCGCCTCGTTGGTAACGCCCAGGTAAACGAACTGGGAGAGTTTGTTTGACTGTCTTGGAGATGGATGGAAAAATCTGACAAAGAACAAAGAGCTTGGAAGTTGGAGGCTTCTGCTTGGTGGATGTGAGCACACACCTGTGCACCAAAATCAAGATGCGCGCAAGCAGGACATGACCAACGGCATCACAATATGATTGGTGTGTAATTACAGAAAAGTTTCGTTGATTCCTAAAGCAGTGTTTCCCAAAGTTGGGGTCGGGACCCCACATCAAGGTGGGGTCCTGAAAAGATTTTTGGAATTTATTACATTTTTGCCTTAGNACATGCACAGTAGTGGTTACTGGGGTAGGCCATGGACGTCACAAGACATTATACAGACAGGCTCTGGTATCATGGCTACCTGACAACAGAGCTCAAAAGTGTGGGATCATTTTAAGAAAATGAAAGAGAAACCTGTGTAATATCTGCTGAGCAGAACTTGTCTTCCACTGCAGTTATTTTTAGTTAGCATATAGCTAAAATATAACGATGGTTATATCATAGCAGCTGCATTCTGGCGCGATAAGCTCTTTTATATCTGCTGAGCAGAACTTGTCTTCCACTGCAGTTATTTTTAGTTAGCATATAGCTAAAATATAACAATTGTTATATCATAGCAGCTGCATTCTGACGCGATAAGCTATTTTATGTATAGTAATTATATATTTTTTATATGTTTTATATCCAATTAATGTATGATCCAATTAGTCGACTAATCGAAAAAATAATCGGTGATTAATCGATTATAACAATAATTGTTTGTGGCAGCCCTAATAAAGACTAATGTTCCAACTAGTCAGAAAACCTTCCACGAGGCTCCGATCAGATCAGGCAGTTCTGTTTAATAAAATGCAACTCAGCCACAAAACAGGGATTCACATTTTTCAGGATGTAAGTAGGTCAGCCTTATTAGACCCAACAATGGTCTTGATTTGAGCACTTACCATCTATTTCTAAAAGAACATTGTTCTCTGCTTTCACAAACTCTCACTAGAAAAACAGTCTGTTATTTTCCACTCGTTCAGCTCAACAACATCTGATTGTTGCTATATTTCAAAGTTTCTGTTCGATGCAATCAGTAATCCCCTCCAGTCAAATAAATATTGCTTTTTGATAAATTAGTTATCAAACTCGTTATAGTTTAATTATTGCGTCATTTATTTTAGTTAGTTCATTAGCCAATTAGTCAAGACTTATGAACACTGACTTTTGGACTCTGCTGTCAGTTTTATCATTAGTCATGCCATTTGTAGTAGCTTTGTTTGGTTTTTATGTGTACAACAGAGAAGTCTGAGTTGTTTCAGAAATAATATTGAAACTAATTACTAAACTAAATACTCCAAGTGTTGCTCACATAAATGTCTTCTTCAGGTTCATCCACCAACCAGGTGGTGAGAACTGAAACATTCACACTGCTCTGGTACACTTGTGCTCAAACTGGGCTCATTATTTTACATTAAGGACATGCACAAAATAAATCCACAATCAACTGATCGTTAAGGTGTGAAACCAACACATTAAAAGCTATGTGTCTTATTCGTAGAGCAGTTCACACATTAATAGAGCCACTTTGTACCAAAGGTGGAAAACTAAAGAGTTGTGCCATTGGAAAACCTCAAGTCTCAGCATGTTGAGAGCTCCACAGAGAGTACAAAACATGTAACACCTTTCCACCAAGTGTTATAAACCTTTCTCACCTATGTACCGATTTGTTTTTTATTACGGGGTTGGTTTTTTACTCTTCAGAGGAAGAGAAAGTGAAAATAGTCAGAATTTTAGTTGATTTATTTGCCTGGCTGGTTTTGTTAAGATCTGTATACTTGTTCCTTATAATTTTCTGTAATGGAGATTTGATTTTTGTATGTCAATTTTTCATTAGTAAATTGTTTTTGAAAGAAGTTCCATCTCATATTTCAGTGAGCGCAACATCAGTTTCCCAAAGGACTGTACTACTATATAACTGATACTAATAACTTAAAGGGCCTGTGACATCAAATTTTTGTAATAAATATGAACGCATTTTGGAAAGAAAACATTGATAACATAGTGCAAAAAATATTTTATGCTGCTGAGATAAACAGTTGTTGAGTTATTTGAATGTGAAGTAACAGGAAGTGATGTCAAAGCGGAATGCCAGCATTTAGCAACGCTCTGTTCATATAAAGAACCTGATGTTTCTTTAGACTATTTTGAGTCACGATTAGAGAGAAGAAGAGTCAGAATTCAAATATTGTTTCAGTAAACAAAGACCAGTGAGTTCATTTTCTTAAAGTGTTCCCCTTTGATGTTGTAATGTAAAAATACTTTTTGATCTGGGTCAATAGGTTATGAGATATTCTACTGACTTATGACCTCAGCTTTACTGTGACAACTCTGTTCTAAATCAACAGATAGGGATGTTTTTGGCCAGGACAAGATCTGCTATAATTATCAAGATTATTTTTATCTTGACCCAGTACAGAGCCTGAAATGAAGTGTCTGTATAAGATAAGCATCTGTATGTTGAAACAGTATATAGTTTGCCATTAGAACTGCCTGTTATCAAAGCTGTTCATAAACAGCCTGATGGATCTGTGTTAATTTCTGTGTTCCTGTTTATTGCAATAAACAAACTCAGATAACCATTCTACGACGCAACTTTATTTTTCATATCACGTATTTCTGTTCTTTGCACTTCCTGTTTCACTTTAGCTGACCAAGTTCAAAAGAAAATATGCCAGTTATGTGACAATGGGTAAAACCATGTGTTACTACAACAGGTTTCTTAAATATAAAGATGTTTTCTTTGATCTTTTGTTTACTAAAAATATAGCTTCGCAAACGCTAAACCACTACTGGTGTGAAAAAAGTGAAAGCTAGCAGCTAAATAAGTAAAATTCAGCAGAAGCTAATAGTAATAGATAATCGCTAACAAAATCATTAACAAACCTGTTGATATTAGTTTGTTAGTTAGCTAGCTGTTAGCAAACAAAGTTGGCAAATCCGAATTTGGAAGAAGCTTATTGGTCCGCCAACAGTTTTCAAAGTTAGTCAAAAAGCTAATTTGCAAAATGAAAAATTTGTTCTGCTATTAGCTGTTAGCATTTTAGCAGAACCATGCTCATCAGTGTTAAGAACCACGCAACCATGCTCAGCATGATAATTTATTTGATCAACCCTAATGGACTCCACTGGCCTTGGTGGCCACACCTGGTTTAGATGAGAGCAACAACAAAAGAGAAAATGGGGAGTAAAGAAAATGTGGGTTTATCATAGTTGATATCACAACATTAAACAATAATATCACTTATTACTAGGGTTGGGCAATACTGGCAAAAAAAAAAAAAATCACGATTAATTGGGGGTATTTAGCCAATAACGATTAATTTGACGATTAATCCCCTGGACACCCTTATGTCTTAGTCACAGGATCAATTTAGTGGGAAAGATTTGCTCTTCATAAAAATCTGTTCCAAATTGTGTCAAAATTAGACTTCAGGCTATACATAAATTTTTAAACTGTGTTGATAGATAAATAAATTACAGAACCTTTTTTTTAATGGTCATCATATTTGAAGCGGAGAGGAGCGAGTGGATTGACTGGAAAAATCTCCCCTGGTGGCATTCATCCTATTAATCGTCAAGTACCAAAAATTAATCGATTAATGTTCTTCTGACGATTAATTGCACACGATACGATTATGCCCAACCCTACTTATTACACCATTTTATAACATTGCGCAGTCCTAAATAAAAGGTGCTCTGCAAAAGAAAATTAAAGAAGGTTGAAAATAAAMAATTTTATCTAAATTTGGAAGGTTCAAGAAAAAAAAATCGTTCTTGCTCTGCTTGTTTATGCATTAAATTTAGAAGGGCAAAGATTTATTTCATTAATTCCTTTTAACTCCCTAAAATCACCACATTACATTATCAAGCTAAATGATATCTCTACTACTGACAGCTCTACTTTGTTTATCTCTGGACAAAGTTGTTGTTTTTATTGTGTTAGTAATGGTAAACAATGATCCCTGTCTTCCCAACAGAAAAAACACCATGTGAAGAAAACAATACACACGGTTTGTACACAACTCCTTATTTCTCCTGAGACCCACATCGTGCCCTTTCAAGATAAAAGCCTTCTTTAAATAGAAACATGTGACCAGTTGGACACACGCTGCACACTGGTGAGACATGTGGACAATCAATCATTTAGGGGACGACACACACACACCTTTCATTGTTCGTTACAGATTTCCACTAAATAATGTGATTAAAAGGCAAGGTAAAACAATTTGAGCTCCAGCACAATTACATGACTTCTCAGAACTAAATGATGATGTTACATGTGTTAGGCTCTGCACCACACAGCGCCCATCTGTCACATATAGACGAAGTCAAAAACAAATACACTACACTACTATAAACTACATTAAACTAACATTTAAAAGGATTATGTCAAACTAACCCTAACCCTGAAATTCAACACACTGAGCCATTTGGGCCTCTGACTGCTATTGATCAAAACCTCAAAGCCCAATAGTTTGGTTCATCTTTGCAGCGACGCCCCACCCTGCACACCCACTGAAGTGAGCAGCAGCCGAGCACAACAGAGGAGAGATCACTGCCAGGACCAACACAGGGGGCAGCAGCAGCAGCAGCACAGCACACCCTTCCTTCCTCTCACCCCGGGGTTCCTGCAGAACGCCACGTGTCTCTTAGATACCTGCCCTTACTGCGTTTTCCCGCTGCGCACCACCTGACTTATATAAGCTGCCATTTGAGACAATTAATCCTGAATACAGCGAGAAATTACGTTAACCTTATCTCAGCAGATGTTTTTTTTTATTTCAAAGATTAGCTATACCTATGGCTTTTTAACGGATGAAATCGTTGCAGGTCTTACTTTCAGGCATGATGTGATGCATCGCCACAGACAAGAAAAAGATGGAGTCACTGTAGTAAGCTCCGGATCCGGCGCTGAAATGCTTTTGCATGGCCTCCACGATGGGGAACAGCTCATGTGTGAGTTCCACCACGTCGTGAAAGAAGATCTGAAAGAACGAACAAAAGAGGAGTCGTATTACAGAACAAGTATCTAGCCTACAGTGTTACAATTAATACCAGTTCAGCTCACAGATATAGGTTCAGAAATGAGCATTTATCTGGTCCAAATGACTCTGAGGCTATCTGTTATTGTAATGGGATATCCAACGAACGCTGTAAAAGAAGCAATTTTCTGGTGACTTATTTGTGTCGTAGGAAGAACTGAATTCTGCGAAATTCCAATTAAATGTGTTAATCATGGGGATAAGATTACAGATTTTCAGATGATTTACTAACAGAGTCAACAGCTTATTTACGTATGAGCACAAATAAACGCTACAGTGATGTCTTCAATTATGACCATTAAACCCATTAATTTCATTACCACCTATAAATACAGCTGACTTTATGTTACTGCATTCTGGTTTGATTTGTGCCGCAGTACAACTCAAGTCACATGTGTGTAACTCAAGGCCTGTGGGCCAAATGTGGCCTGCCACAGCACTTTGTGGCCTGCGAGAGCTTCAAAGATGCATTAATGTTTTAAAATAAGCATTAGCTGCTTTAAAGCCTTGTGATGAAACCTGTTGGAACCTGTCCAGAGTGATGCCCTGTGACTGCTGGATATGGACACCAGTGACACTGAAAAGAAGAAGTGGGTAAAAGATAATGGATGGTTGGATGTTTTAAAGCCAGCACTGAACATAAACTATATCTCCCATAATGCATGTTGACTATTTTAACTGCTAAATGACAGCATCGCACCACTAGGTGAAGGTGCTCATGGTTTAAAAATAGCCGGTGGAATTCACTGTGTAAAATCTCCATTTCACTGCGTTTCTGCCAGCTACTTYTGCTGCGGCCCAGTTGTACTGAGTACTGTGAATTTCCCACTTACAAGTCGTACAACTAAACTGGAACGCCCCTCCAGTGAGAATTACACATCAGAAAGTGGGAGAGTTCAGAATTCAAGACAGCAGCTACTCACCGCATCTCATCAGGGAGTAAAACTCTCATACTTCTACTTTTAATAGTGTTTCTGTATTTATTTCACATTCAGTCAGTTGTACACACTTTTCATTGTCTATGAGAGGACGTGTTAAGATGCTGTTTCTATGCAGGTAATACCATGTAGAGCTCAGTTATTRTTTATCTGTGCTTAGCCGTAGGAATGAGGCGAGGAATGAGGTTTTGTGTTTAGTCCAAGTTAAACATGAAACGTTGAAGCTAATTACAACTGGCACTTTGAGGGCCACCATAATGCTCACGTGGCCCTCGGTGAGTTTGACATCCCTGGCTTGGGTTAAGCAAGTATTATATAGAGAAAAGAGGAATTTCAAGACTATAAAGACTTCAAATGTGACCACCAGAGCCACAGTCCGCATGACTCACGAGGTTCTCAGGGAAAGTTTAGGCTRTTACTTGGGGGTGGAAATCACCAGATTTATCACAATACGATATTTCTCGATATCACAAAGTCTGTCACAATACAATTTCGATTTAATTAAATTTGCGAGTCTGCAATCAATATGATGCAATATATGCCCATCTAACATAAATGATTGTGTTTGATGGGCATATAGGCCTGTCGCGATAGTCAGTAAATCAATTAATTGCACGATAAGCTATTTTGAGGTCGGTAAAAAAAAAAATGAGGACGATAAGATTCATTTTCCTGCTTGTTGGTTTACTTCCTCTCTCTCCCTCTCTGTGCTCCACTACACAGGAGCTCAGCTGACTCCTCCCTTCCTGTTTTCTTAGTGTCGGGAGGAGTGAACTCTCGCGTTAGCATGAGAGCTCGTAGCAATAACAAACTAAAGAAATGTTTCAAAGCAGAATGCGGCTGCTGCATGTCGGATCAATTGCAGAGCCTGAAATTCGCTGCGGGGAGACACAGAGAGGAGGAGAAGGGGTGGGGGTTGAAACTCCCCMAGACTAGGGGGTGTAAGAAAATATCGATACACTGAAATATCGTGATATTTCATTTCCCGATACTGTATCGATATTCTAAAGCCCTGTCTCGATTTTTTATTAAGGTTTAAAATGTCAACTTTCCTGCCAGCCATTCATTTTTATGTTGTAGTTCAGCCTCTGACCACTAGTTGGCAGCAGTGAGCCAGCCATTTGGCTCCTCTACCTCTTGAGCGCCAGAGAGTAAGAGAGCATTAGCATTGTGAGTAAACATTAGCTTCATGCTCCGATAGCTGAATCTGAGCGGAAAAGACCGACACCCTCTGACTTCTAAGCTGAGGTAAGGTTACAAACAGTTACTTATTTGTCAGAATGTCTGTATTTTAAGCCAAATTAAGTGTCTTGTGCTCTTTTTTCCAATTGTAGTCAGGTTTCACGTTACGCATATAGCGCATGCGTCTATCACCTCGAGCGAGCTCAGCACTCCCCCAAAACGCACCATCTGTGTTTTAACAAAACACCCAAAAAACCTGTAGCTGTCCCAACAACTCATGAGGAAAACTCTGAACTGTCTGATTTCCTCCCCGCAGTGCTCTGACTGTCCCCTCCTCACACACACACATGTTTGTTCTTCTATCCTCATGGGGACTTTGCATTGACTTTCATTCATTTACCAGTATTTTCTATTACCATTTGACCCTAAACCTAGCCTACACTTTACATAGGATGTGAACTGGGCTTATGTCCCCATAAGAAACAGTGGGTCCTCACCAGGCTGTGTAGTTTGCTTCATCTCTAAAGAGATGCTGCTCTTTTGATATTGTTTATTTACTGTCTTAGTTGTGTGTGGTGTTTAATTTACATTTTGTTGTTCTTTGTTTTTTTTTTTATTCAAATGCATTTTTGTTAGAGACAGAGTCCACTTTGTTAAACATTCTTTAAAATTAAAGTTTATTGATTTATTACACTTACATAATATATTACGCTTTTAGAATTATTAGTTGTAAAATGGTCACCAGGCAATATTGTCGCTTATCGCAATAATTTTTGAGACAATTAATCGCCCAGCAAAATTTGTTATCGTGACAGGCCTATGGGCATAGGATATCGATCCATATCGGGCATAAGATGACAATTTGGATCTTTTTTTTTTTTTTCATTTTTGCTCGATGTAATTGAATTATTAATCATTGGATCTATCGATTTAGATCGATGATTTACTGTTACACCCCTACTATTACCATCTTCTCACTCAGCCTGATTATTACTGGTAAACATGGGGTCCAAAAGCTTTCCTGACTTCTTTTTTTTAACCTTTTACACGACCTGTACCCATGTCTGTACTTATCAAAGACATCCACAGTAGGGTTGGGCGATATTGGCAAAAAAAATTAATTATGATTAATTGTGGTATTTAGCCGATAACATTAATTTGAGGATTAATCTCCTGGAGTCCCTGAACTCCCTTATGTCTTAGTCACATGACCAATTTAAAGGGGCAATATTGTGTAAAATCAACTTTTTTGAGTTTTATATCTTGTTATAATGTTATACTCTCATAAAAAACATGCCCAAAGCCTTTCTTTGACTCATTCATGCATGTTTGAGAAATCCTGCAGTGGTTTTAGGCAGCCATGCTGAGGAGCAAAACAACAGGTGGGGACCAGAAACGCCTTTTGGTACCAGAAACACCCCTGGGACGTGTCTTTAAGCTGAGCGTCCTCATCACGGAGCACACCTCCCCCCTCCCCACACACCCCGCCCATGACTCCTGCAGGCTCTCGGCAGTAACAAAGTGAAAGTGAAACTTAAACTGTCTGCTGAGCTCCACTACTTCTCACTCAGTGAAGCTCTTTTCAGATTCAAAATACCTTTGAAGAAATGTATTTTCAGATGCCAAGTAAACTGCTTCGTAGTGCAC